ATGGGGATAGCGTTCAATCTATAAATTACTTTGGGTAGTATGGCCAATTTCACAATATTGATTCTTCCTATCCATAAGCATGGAATGTTTTTCCATCTGTTTGTGTCCTCTTTTATTTCCTTGAGCAGTGGTTTATAGTTATCCTTGAAGAGGTCCTTTACATCCTTTATTAGTTGTATTTCTAGGTATTTTATTCTTTTTGTAGCAATTGTGAATGTGATACTGCCATTTTGATGCTAGCTGGTTGTTTTGTCCATTAGTTGACGCAGTTTCTTCATTGTTTCAATGCTCTTTACCATTTGGTATGATTTGGGAGTTGCTGGTACTGGTTGTTCGTTACTATGTTTAGTGCTTCCTTTAGGAACTCTTGTAAGGCAGACCTGGTGGTGATGAAATTTCTCAGCAATTGGTTGTTCGTAAAGGATTTTATTTCTCCTTCGCTTATGAAGCTTAGTTTGGCTGGATATGAAATTCTAGGTTGAAAGTTCTTTTCTTTAAAGATGTTGAATATTGGCCCGCACTCTCTTTTGGCTTGCAGGGTTTCTGCTGAGAGATCTGTTGTGAGTCTGATGGGCTTCCCTTGTGGGTAACCCCGCCTTTCTCTCTGGCTGCCCTTAGCATTTTTTCCTTCATTTCAACCCTGGTCAATCTGACAATTACGTGCCTTGGGGTTGCTCTTCTTGAGGAATATCTTTGTGGTGTTCTCTGTATTTCCTGGACTTGAATATTGGCCTGCCTTGCTAGGTTGGGGAAGTTCTCCTTGATAATATCCTTAAGAGTGTTTTCCAGCTTGGAGTTATTCTCTCCGTCACATTCACGTACACCTATCAAACGGAGATTAGGTCTTTTCACATAATCTCATATTTCTTGGAGGCTATGTTCATTTCTTTTTACTCTTTTTTTCTCTGATCTTGCCTTCTCATTTTATTTCATTCAGTTGATCTTCAATCTCTGATATCCTTTCTTCTGCTTGGTCGATTCAGCTACTGAAACTTCGTGAAGTTCTCGTGATGTGTTTTTCAGCTCCATCAATTCATTTATATTCTTCTCTAAGCTGTTTATTCTCGTTGGCATTTCATCAAACCTTTTTGTCAAGGTTCTTAGTTTCTTTGCATTGGGTTAGAACATGTTCTTTTAGCTCAGAGAAGTTTGTTATTACCCACTTTCTAAAGCCTGTTTCTGTCAATTCATCACACTTATTCTCCATCCAGCTTGTTTCCTTGTTGGTGATGAGTTGTGATCCCTTGGTGGAGGAGGGAAGTTCTGGTTTTGGGTGTTTTCATCCTTTTTGTGCTGTAAATAAACCTTTTGTGGATTTATTGACTTGCGGTCTTTGCAGCTGGTGACTTTCGGATGGGGTCTGAGTGGATATACTTTTTGTTAATGATGAAGTTATTTCTTCCTGTTTTTTAATTTTCTTTCTAACAGTCAGGCCCCTCTGCTGTAGGACTGCTGGGGGTCCACTCCAGACCCTGCTTGCCTTGGGATCACCTGCGACGGTTGCAGAACAGTAAGGGTTGCTGCCAGTTTCTTCTTCTGTTATCTTTGTCCCAGAAGGCTACCCGCCAGATGTCAGTCTGAGCTCTCCTTTATGACGTGTCTCTTTGGATATACGGGGATCTGGGAGCTGCTTGAGGAGACAGTCTGTCCCTTATAGGAACTAAAGTGCTGAGTTGTGAGCTCTGTTGTTCCGTTCAGAGCTGCTGGGCAGGTACATTTAAGTCCGCTGCAGTGGAACTCATAACCGCCTTTTTTTCCCAGGTGCTCTGTCCTGGGAAGATGGGGCTTTATTTATAAGTTCCTGACATGCTGCTGCCTTTTTTCAGAGATGCCATGCCCAGCAAGGATGTACCCTAGCCACAGTCTGCCAGCAGGGACATTGCTGAGCTGCCGTGGGCTCTGCCCAGCTGCTGTGTGAACTTCCTAGTGGTTTTGTTTATAGAGGTATAGTTAGAACTGCCCCAGTAATGGCAGACTGTCTCTGTTATGGTGGACTGTCTTGGTAATGGCGGATTGCCTCAGTAATGGTGGACTGCCTTGGTAACAGTGGGCTGCCTCAGTAATGGCGGACTGCCTCAGTAGTGGTGGACTGCCTCAGTAACGGCAGATGCCCTTCTCCCTGCAGAGCTGGCCTGTCCCAGGTCCAGCTGTGTTTGCTGTGAAACTCTCAATCCAGAGCGTTTCAGATTGCTGGTCTTTGTGGGTATGGGACCCGCCAAGCCAGATTACCTGACTCCCTGTTTCAGCCCCTTTTTGTTCAGTTGAACAGGTGACTCTGTCTCCCAGGCATTCCAGGTGCCAGTTGAAACAGCCCCCCATATTTGTGTGAGTTTTTGAGTGGAGACCTGCTGCACCAGCTGAAACAGCCGTGCTGGAGATTCGTGGTGCTTTTCTGCCTGGGAATCTCCTGGTCTGTGGGCAGTAAAAACTCGTTTGGAAATGCAGTGGTCACTCACCCTCTGTGTTCTCGCTGGGAACTGCACTCCAGAGCTGTTCCTATTCAGCCATCTTGATTTGTCCCAAACTTCTCCTCTTAGTACTGTTTTTGCTGTATACCATAAGTTTTGGTTTTCCATTACCATTTGTTTGAAGAAATGTTTAAATTTCCTTCTTAATTTCTTCATTGATCCATGTTTCATTCAGGAGCATATTGTTTAATTTCCATGTATTCCAAAATCCCTTGTTATTAACTTCTAGTTTTATTCCATTGTGGTCAGAGAAGATGCTGGATATCCAATTTTTTGAATGTTTTAAGACTTGTCTTGTGATCGAATATGGTCTATCCTTGAGAATTAGCCATGTGCTGGGAAAAAGAATGTGTATCTTGCAGCCGCTGGATGAAATGTTCCATAAATATCTATTAGGCCCATTTGATCTATAGTACAGATTAAATCCAATGTTTATTTGTTGATTTTCTCTCTGGAAGATCTGTCCAATGCTGAAACTGCGGTGTTGCAGTTTCCAGCTATTATTGTATTGGGATCTATCTCTCTCTTTAGCTCTAGTAGTATTTGCTTTGTATGTCACTCCATTCTTGCATTAGTGTTTTTTACTTTTCATTGTAGAGATCTTTCGAGTATTTGGTTAATTTGAAGTTAACATATTTTAACTTAAAATATATCTGGATGTTCCAGTGTTGGGTGCATATACAGTCACAACTTTTATATCCTCTTGCTGAATTTACCCGTTTATCATTATATAGTGACCTTCTTTGTCACTTCTTATAGATTTTTGTCTTAAAACTTATACTGTCTAACGTAAGTATAGCTACTCCTGCTCTTTTCTGGTTTCCATTGGCATGGCATACATTTTTCCATCCCTTTATTTTCAGTCTATGTGCATGTTTATAGGTGAAATGTATTTCTTATAAGCAACAGATCACTGGGTCTTTTTTTTTCTTTTTTTAATCCACTTAGCTACTCTGTGTGTCTTTTGATTGGAAAGTTTAGTCCATTTACATTCAATGTTATTACTGGTAAGTAAGGGCTTACTCCTGCCATTTTGTTCTGGTTGCTCTGTAGTCTTCTCTTTCTTCTTTCCTTCCTTCCTGTCTTCCTTTTAGTGCAGATGATTTTCTCTGGTGGTATAATTTCATTTGTTGCTTTTCATTTTTTGTTTATCTGTTGTATGCTTTTTTATTTGACATTACTATGAGGCTTACAAACACTACCTAATAACCCAACATTTTAAGCTGACAACAACTTAACACTGTCTGCATAAACAAGCAAAAAGAAAACTAATAAAAACTCTACACCTTAATTTCATCCCCTCGCTTTTTAACTTTCTATTGTTTCTCTTTGTATCTTATTGTACTATCAATGTGTTGAAAAGTTGTTGTAGCTATTATTCTTGATTGGTTCATCTTTTTGTCTTTATACTTAAAATAAGAGTATTTTACATGTCACAGTTATAGTGTATTACCAGACATTTTGTTTAAAACTTTTAATTAAATAAAAATATTAGAAAAATTTTTTAACTTTAAAAATTTGGTTTTTTTGTTGCCTAAAGAAATTGAGAGAGAAAGGGAGTATCTAAGTAAGATTAGGCACAAAAGCTACACAGTAAATACAAAGGCTAAACTCTAGTCCAGGAATGCAATCAGATTTTGTCTTTTGTACCAGCTCTGATCAATTGATTCTGTCTAGATTCCTGTCTTGGTAAACAGTCTCAGGCTACATGAAAGCATAGCAAGAAAGTGCTGTGACTACTTGGTAATGTCTACAATGAGCACAGAATAACCTAGCACCAATTTAACGCTATGGAAGTATGGAAAAGTTTCAGTGTGCAATTGTATGCACACTGAATTGTATTCAGAAGTATGGAAAAGTTTCAGTGTGCAATTGAGGCAACCATTCTCCACTTCTAGGAAATTTGCTAAGCAGAATCATCAACTTATTTGAAGTCTGAACTAAAATCTAAAGTGTGACGGATATTTTCTAAGTATTTTTATACATCTCTGTTTACTATGAAATCTAAAAATAAACCAGTGCTTTTGCATGTCATGGTAAAGAAAAAAGATTAATAAATGATACTCTATTCTGAAAATTTTTTCCCTGAAAAATCATTGAGAAAAAAATTGAATGCTTATCTGAATGTAAAATGTAAGGAAACTTGCTAAGGCAGAATGAAGATAATGTCAGTGCTGCCACCTATATAAAATAAAACCTATGTATCATGTCAAACTACACATTCCAGCTTGCCAAGTAGGTCACTTGCTCTTATTTAAAAAGAGATATCTCAGAGGTAAAACAGTTAAAAACATAACAGTGTCAGTAAAATAATATACAGGCAAAGAGAAAGCGCTATGCATTCATAACTAAAGAACAACTGATTCAACCCACTTGTTTTACATATGGGAACACCAAAGTCCAGAAAACAGAAGGAATCTGTCTCTATGTGGTGAGAATAATTCAGAGTCTGAAAATCAATCTGTGTGGTCCACAGAGCAATCCAGAAAAGATGAATAACTCTTCACAGCCTAACTCAACAGCCTAAAATTTCTTCATAATTTAGTCAGCAATGCTTAGTTAAGAGACACCTCCAGGCAGAAGATTTGTACAGCAACTTTTCCTATAACTCTCCTAAACCATGTAATTTAGCCAGTGATATAATGGAGACATTATACAGTGTATCACAGAACTAGCCTTGTGACATCTACAGCAAGGGATCTGTTCTTTCATCCCTATGTGAGAACACCTAGCAGGGTGTGCTGCCAGAAAGCCAAGCTCCAACTCCTGTGACTGAATCACTGGCTTTGTACTAAAAAATTAACTTCTGGAGGTAGCAATTACTAAGTTTAAGTACAATCTGTACAGATGCTTTTGAAACTCATTGGTCAAGTGATGTCTACTCTGTCTTTATCTATGTTAACTAAGTATCTTTTATTAACAGTAAGCTAGTTTTTGCATGAGGCATAGTTCTAAAAAAAATGTTTTAAAGTTAGAAGATATATGTTTTTACAATGGGACAAATACCTAATGTAGGTGACAGGGGGGTGGAGGCAGCAAACCACCATGGCATGTGTATACTTAAGTAACGATCCTGCAAGATCTGCATGTGTACCCCAAAACTTAAAGTATAATAAATAAATAAATAAATATAAATTTAAACAAAAGAAAATATATGTCTTTAAAACTAAGTGCTGAATATATTTGTTCTTTGGTTTCTGGTAAACTCAGAACTTTAGAGAACCTTGAATAAACTTTAAACATATATTTTCACACACACACACACACACACACATATATATTTTCATACACACACACACACACACACACACACACACACACACACACACACACA